TACATACAGTGCTTATGAATATTGTAAATATATAGGTGTCCGTGCGTAATCCCTGGTGAGGGAGCAAGGGAAGCTCCCTCAAATACTGAATGTCTTATCTTCGAAACAATATTAGGAAAGCATGAATGTTAATTAACGTGCCAATTTCTCGGCCAGTGATAGGATTAGTTAATTAGGACATTAACATCATGCTGTGCCCTACTGGAATCCCGTAGACTAATTGATTAACAGTAGGCTTCTTATGGTACGATACTCGTCTATAAAAATAAATGAGTTTCGTCCGATGTGAAGCGAATTCACATTTCTCTTTTGTACGTACAGATAATGTTTGGATTTCTCGTGTCGTACTTCGTGGCACAATTTAAGAGGGATTTAGCGTGGGTGAGGGAGGGCCATGTTAGTATTATAGCCACGGTAAAACGTGTTTTTTTACATTAGTGGAAGATCGGGATTGAGTGGGGTGGGGAACACGGGCCCGTTTAACTTTTACACAATTTTATATTCGTAGACATGTGGTAACCTATTGGGTGTAAGTGAAATGCTCATGAGATGTTGCCCGAATGATCTACACGAAAAATGGCTAAGGCCTAATAATAAAAAGGAAATCGAAACATTTCAAGCGAAATATTATGTTTAGATACATGCGTTTACAGTTTTAAATCGAATCTTTATAGTAATTCCCAGTTTGTTTCTCTCTGATTTCCAGTTTCACTATTAGTATTATTTCATGGTTTATTCAATTTCATGAAGGAAACGAAACGTTTTCACCTGTTGCTAGATTATGACTACAATCGTGCTTATTAATTTCAGGCAAAAATGCCTGGCATTGTAATAATGCAACCGAATAGGCCGAATATATCTATTTTACTCATCGTTAAAGCCGGGAACTCACTGCGTCTGACGGACGTTGGCCGACACGATTCTATGGAGGACGCAACGCCACGACGCGCGCGCATAACAGATCGTTTTCAATGACGACTGCTACCGACAACCAGAAGACGGTGTCGCGTTGTCTAACGCTCACCTAAGGGAGCGGAGTTGGATTCGTCGTACGACGCAGTGAATGCCGGTTTAAACGTGTCGGTTTAAAAATACAAATTAATGAATATGCGCATATTATGTACGGTATATGAATCGATCGTTTTATGATGCCGCATCTTATCGGAATACTGTAATTTGTTTTCAGTAAACGTTAACAAACTCATTCACATACATTAAAAAAAAAGAACTAATATTGATTTTAGGACTAGATTATACAATTCCAGTAAACGAATACTTGAGACGTATTTACCCTTTATTCAATAAAACTATGTAAATAGTAATAAAATAGACCGGAACACTTCAATATAAGCTGTAAACTACCGTACCTATAGCATAGGTTGATCCTGTGGTATAATTAAAAAAGGTAAAAAAAAAACGAAATAATGATTAGGCCCAGGTGGTGCCAGGATTCAGCCGACGAGGGACCGATGTCTCCGACGGGAAGGGCTGATATCTCCTGGGACTGTAAATGGGCGAGGTCAGGGGGCGGCCAGAATCTCTCGGAGGGTGTTCATAGAGAAAAACCCGGCAGCTCTGATATTTAGGGAGTATTTTAATCGATTTTAGTCAAACAATGTTTTGGTTTTTTTTTTCTCCCCGACAAAATGTGTTTTCTTCTCCGACGGTAGGGGGGAGGGGGTATCCCTCTCCTGAACTCTACTGTCGCCACCATTTGACTGGGCCTACAGACACAACGAGTCGTTTTAATTGCGCAAAGAAAGCTGTGAAATGACAAATGTGAGGATAACGGCTTACTGTCGGAGTTATTGTTCTGTATTTTTTAGAAAAGAAAACCTTTACTGTATCCACAAATGAATTCAAACAGTGAATCGGCTTTGTGTAGGCTTACATTGTATACCAACTGTATGTGTTTGCTTTTGACGGTTTCGTGGTTGGCATAATCATTATATTAATGGCGTATTCATTTTGGAATTGTAGAATGCACAGTATATCCGCCGGTAAATGATAATCCCTTCCAAATAGCTGGTGTAATATCCATAATTACTAACAATTCATTATTTTATTAAAGAAGATGGTTAAGATGTTCGCCTTCCAATCGAAGGGTACAGTGTTCAAATCCTGTGTGGAGCATTGGTTTGTTGTTCTTCGACGGTTGGTTGTAATCCAAAACACAAGCAACGCTACTCTGCATTTTGCTTGAGTGCTTGCGCCAACCCGTCTAATTTCTTTGAACATACAAAAAAGAAATATTATGCATGTGGGAATCATCAATGAATTCGATGTTGTAAGAAGGATCGTAATGTTTCTGCATCAAGTAAATATTTTGAAAAAAATTAATCTACGACTTAAAAAAAATCGTCCTGTTCATTAATTTACATATATCCTTCAGGAAGATGATGTTTATCTCTTTATGTCCACCATTTCTATGATATAAAAAATGTCTTTTCGTTAAGATTCTTAAAAATAGTTTATACAGTATGTATCACCACAGTTTTGATCTCTGTTCCACATGAGTCTAACTAATACTAGCGTGAAACCAATCGTCTCCAACGAAAACTCAAATGGTCCAATTATAAGGCGTTATAGACAGCAGAAGATCCAGGTTCAAAATCCTCGTGGATTCGCAGATTCGGAGAGATGGTAATAAGTTAAATGAGCAAACTCTAACTA